CTTTGGCAACGTCACATGTTTTTATTCACACTGTTATAGGTACTCAGCTGACATATTTTGTAATAAATATGCTGAAGCGATACTTTCCTGAAGCCAAGAGTACAAACCCATGGGAGTGATGGAGTCATCCTACAGACTCAGGGATTTCCAGATGATTTTTACTTTGATCCTGCTTCCTTTTAATTTTTTATTTATAGTGTTTGTGTTTTATACTAATCATGAGAAAATTAAGTTTTATAATTTTATAGCTTGTAGTAAAAATCAAGAGTTAGTAAGAGAAACAGATTTGGTTAGACTGAATAGTTTAACCCTCTTAAAGGATTAAAAAGTTAAATGCTGAATGAACAAACTTCCTCAGAGTTGGTACTCCGTTCGCATAGGCTGATTTGAGAATCCCAGTCTTTCTAATTAGGCAAATCAGTTCAAAAGAGAGGTTTTCATTAAATCTAACGTACATGTAGACGCTCTCTAGATTAGGCACGACATGAAATTAGCAACCAAGATCATAGATATCAGCTGTACTCTGATGAATTGCAGAGGGAAAACAAGAGGCACTTACCCACCTTCTAAGGCTACAAAAAAACCCCAAAATTGTGTATTCCAGGGAATTGTAGTTTCAAGAAAGGCTCCTGTCTTCTGATATCTCAGGCATCTCTGCAATATCGACGTGTCTGCAGTGCTTCTCTGCTTGATAGTGCAACACAGCTGACTTCAGGTTGAGGTAGAAGTGCCATCATAGTGGGCACTCCACGGAGATCAGCGTGGGCTGAACCCGTGTGGGGTTTACAGTCCCTGCTGAGCTCTGCACTGCTTGGGTTACAGGTTGCAGCTACCACAGGTACTGATGACTTACAGGGACTCAGGTGTCAGTGGCTGCTGGGATGGGAATGTAAACCTGACCTGTGAGTGATCCCTTCTGCTGACATTTCTAATCTGTTGATCTGTTGATGAGGTGAAAGCTCTGTATGGGTCTGTTAAGCCTTGTCTTCAGTAGCAGAAAGATGTTCCTTTTGCATCTGCATAACTTCTTGACATAAACTCTAGCAAAGATTAAATGTAAAAAGGACAGCTTAGCACCAGTTAAAATGAATGCAGTACTGGTTATTTGGGATTTTTGTAAACCAGTTACGTGCTAAGGTAGAATCGACAAAACCTTGTCTTTATTGAGGAGTGATAGTGAGCGTGCTTGCTTAATGTGGTGCTCTGGACAAGCTCTTTCCTTTGCAACGGAGGCAAAGATAACAAGATGTATACAAGTAGAATACAAAAGCAGAAGGAATGAAAAGGCAAGGTATGGTTTGTTCCCTAGCTACTTTGTAACTACATAATCTTCTTGAGACAAAAACGTTGTTTTGGTAAGGACAGTGACAAACTACAGTGGTAATTGAGACAAGGTCAAGTACTGATCTCACATCACCATTTTCCAGCTAAGAGTTGCTGAATACGAACTACACATGTTGTGTCTTCTGTAAATTGTTTTTTAGTTTTGGTTGTTCTAGTCATGAATAAGTTGTAGCTATGAAAAAGCCTGCACCATTCCTTTCCCTTAGTCTTCTCTTTCTTCTTCAGACATACTTTTGTGTTTGAAAGACCACTTTTGTAAACACACAGAGTCATCTCGACATTTTTTATGGAGTACCAGATTCTAACACATCAACAGGCAGTTTTGTAGAAGAGTATGATTTTAATACAGTACAGTGGCACTAGCTGCTTCTCAGGCTGGCACTTGATACTTTAATTCAGCTTTTCTCATTTTTTCTTTTTGTTGCTTAATAAAAAGATGCCCTATCAAAACACATTTATTGCAATGCCATCGAAGTACTTTTTATTTACAGCATTTTCACTTGTTTATAAACATCCTTATATGAAAACCTATTTTGCATTTATCTCAGTAGATGATGACATCCAGCTTTAGAGTTCTATTTTATGGGGTTTTCTACCTTCATGTGTGTGCCAGGTGCTGGAAAAAACAAATACAAAGACAAGTTCTTGCCATGCTAGGCATCCTCAGCAAGAGATGGAAAGAAGTTCACAGCTAAGGAAAGGAGTTCACAGCTAAGCAGTTGCATGTATCTTCTCAGCAGGCACAATAATTTTGTTATTGTTTTAGCTTTTTAATACATATTTCACCTGTGAAATTTTGAATGGATAAATCTTTTTCATGAGATGATGGGAGGGCGCTGTGTGTTAAGCTGAAGTCTCTGACCTCTGTCATTTCATGAATAAAAAGTGACAAGAAACCTCTTGCCTCACTCAATAACATGATTAATCTCAACAGTGATTTACCAATTTCATATGTCTTTATCTACATCAGGGTTCCCTGTAGGAACATGTGCTGTATCAGTCAGTGAGAAATGCAGTGCAGATACTGGACAGGAATGCAGTTTCCAACCAGAATGCATTCCACCTAGAAATGGATTTTAGGGCAGTTTAGACTATATTCTTTTACTTACCAGGAATGCATTATTATTAAATATTATAGATATTATTTACATATATGTTGCCATGTTATCTGGTCATGAGCTGCATATGTAATATGGTGTGGTGATTGTAAATGGAATTCAGGAAGACAGTCAGAATCAGTCCAGTCTCTTCCTGCTACACAGCAACTCATATACTTGCAAATTCAGTATAATGACTCACAAGGAACTAGAGTCGGAGGTGGCATGGCCAGCAAGCCATAAACAAAAAGAGAAAAAAGGAGGGCCCCTGGAGTAGACTGCAGAATTATTAGGAATTACCATTTCTTCCCTATTGTGATGTCTGTCTTAAGCACTACATTAAAAATATCAGTAGAAATAGTAATGTATATCTCCAGGTATGCAGAGCATCCTAAAGACAGACAACATGATGTACACGGAGTTCATTCTGCCGGAACTCAAAGTCTAAGTAGACAAGTGGTAGAGATGACATGACTTTTCTGGTGTTGTGCAGGTGCATTTAGAGAGCTGGGAACAGAACCCACATCACCCAAGTCCCTGTTCAAGTTGACTCTAATGTAGACTTTGTCTGGCCTTCAGTCATCAGAGTTTATTTACTGGAGTTCTGTGCTTGGAATAAAATCCACCAAAATTGGTAGGTGGGGAGAATTTTGATGATTTTATTTCATCTCCAGCATATCCTAAACCTCTAGGTGTGTGGGTTTGGATTCATCTTGCCTAACTTTAGAAGTCTACATTGCAGTGGATGCTCCTAGTGCATTGTTCATCAGGTCTGTTTTAGGTCGTTGCTTGGGGATGATACAACTCATGTGACGACAGCAACTGGGTTAAAATAAGGTCTAGAAAACTACTTCAGATGTAGAAGCCTACACAGTAGGTACCTAAAGATTGGTAAAAGGAATCTCATCCCCAATGTTAACTGTCATGTCTAGAGTTTCCTAAACAGCTCTCCATGGGGAGTCCTTGTATGCTCACAAAAATCCTGCTATGCATTTTAGGTACTTAGCACCTTTGTGTTTTGGATATGGGTAAGGAGGTGAGCAAACTCCACTTAAATCTCCTGAGGGTCTTAATCTGTTAATTGGGCTCTTGATTTCACATATTACAGATGGCCAACACAACACAACTATCATAATTTTCTTTTTTAAAAAGTGGTGTTGGGGAAAGCTTATCTTAAACGTCCTGGATACTCTGGTGGTGGCGAGTAATTTTTAGGGTTTATAAAACTTTGTTTTTTCATCTTAAATAGATACTCATCAACATGGTACATGTGGAAAATACATCAAGACTCAAATACACCATTGCATGTATTTCGTTACACTAGGTAGCCTCAAGTCGTCTTCTGGAGATTACAATAGTAATTCTAAGAAAAACTATTGTTGAAAGTTATGGGGATGGAGTCAATTTATAAGGAACAGGAACCAGTGCCTAGTGCTACAAGGTTTATTAAAGTGTATCTGTTCTCTTAAATTTTCTCATAATAATAAGACCTAAGAATATCTGCTTGGTTTAAAGAGAAGGCAGAGCACTAGTCTTGTTACTGAGCAATCTTTAGGACTAGCTCCATGAGAATAGTAGTAATTTAGTATTAGTTTCTAATTAACCTGGTATTTGTTTATAAGAAGCCCTTTAAAATTTTAGAAATATGATATTCCAAAAAGCTCATTTTTAATGTCCTCATGTTGCCCTTCCCCTAATTTTTTTCATAAGTATTGATAATAAATTTTATTTTAGTAATTATTGGCCAGACCTATGGGGTGTTTTTGCTGAATACTGCATGAACTTAAGTGAATGTGTCCATATGCATGTGCTCTCCCCAACATACTTAGTACAACAGTTGAATCAGTGCTGATATGTGCAAACCGCTGTCCTCTGTACAAAGAGAATTTGAAGCCTAGATGAGTGGAATGGTTTTCTAGAAAAGCAGCCTATTTAAATGCAATTAGTATCTCTTGTTGTTCCTATGGTTATACAACTATATTGCACCTTTACCTTAAACAATGCACTGCACAGAGTGATGTTGAGATCTGATCACTCATAACACCTAAGCACTATTAAGTGACCATTATTTATCATGCAGTATGATGTGTTTTATTGATGTGAGTGGTGTGGCAGATACGTGCTTCTTCCTTATAATGTGTGAGCCCAGTATTAGCCTGTGAGAACAATGTATTATGTAAAAAGTAAGAAAAATCTATTAAAAATGCCTACTGTATTATCCAAAGGAATTAGCATTTGCTACATTTCCAGTCAGCCAAGGCTTTACAAGAGTTATTGTCATTTTGATTTTCAGATGAGTCATTTGGTATATTGCCCCCAAAGGCACCTCATTATGATTCAGTGCACAGCATATAAAATTGCTTAGGCTTTCGGGGCTCCATGGAAAGCGAGTGGGGGTTGCGGTGGCTCAGCGTTGTGAAGCAGCAGCATTATGCTTAATTGACACCTTTGATGTAGCCCTAAGACAGCACCTGCACCTCCCACTGCTGCTCTGAAGACGTCAGCCTTACGCAGAAAAGGCTTCTGCTTATGAATCCTGCATCGCATTCAGCTCACTCTGTGAGCAGCCCCAGCTATCCTTAACTAATCCCATTGCTTCTCAGTTTGGCTACAGCTTGGTTTAGCACAGAGCAGGAATTCTGCTGCTTGGTATTATCAGGTTAAACAGTAAGATTTTGTCCATGTTAGAACTCATAGAAGGTAAGTCAAATGCCTTGTTGATATCCTAGTATGTAAATATTCTCCTAAGATTCAGAATCTGGGAATCAGGTTGTTGATTCTTTTTTTCCTGGTGCTGACAAATGTGGACTGTGAATTAACAGTTGCTTGTTTAAGAATATTTACATATATATGTGATACACACTTTGTAGTGTTTCTGTCAGTGCTTCAATGTGAACATTATTGATAGCCTCTCTTGTGATTACTGTGTAGTAGAATTCTGTCCTCTGCTGGTATTGTTTTGTTAATTTAATGGGTAATGTCACATGCATGCAAAAGGTGCTTCTAAAATGATAGGCACTGACATATATGAAGGAACTTACTTATTTGAGAAAGTGATGCTTTGCTGTGTCAGACTTGAGGTGTTATGTCCAATTTATTTGCCTCTAGAAAACCCTTCTGGGTTAAGTCTGAGGTGATGCTTGGGTCAGGTGGTATTGCAAAAATCTCTTCAAATGAATAAGTGACAAACAGCAAGCAGCTGATTTGTTCTTGCAAGCAATACTGCTTTTTATTTTTATAGTGGGTAGCACTTCAAGCCATAACTAAATGGAATGAAAAGGTTTACATATAGCAAGTGTCTGTTACGGTTAACAAAGCACCTTGCTCCCCATAACTTTCAAGCACAGGAACAAATACAGTTTAAGAAAACATGATCATGTTCTCTGCCGTTGACTAAACAGTCTTTTCAGGTTTGTCGATTATTGACTTGCACTCTGTATAAAAATTGTCTTAACAAGACAAAACTCTGAGGAAATAGTTCTTTTGTGGATTACCTTATTTAATGTTTAAAACATTGAGCAAAAGCAAATGAATCTGTTCAACAAATAATGAAAAAAAATGTTGATTTAACTATTTCTTTGCTTTTAATAATGCCTTGTATTTATTTTTTCAATTTATTGTCCTTTTAGTGAATGGAACCCCTGGTAGCCAGCTTTCTACTCCCCGCTCTGGGAAGTCTCCAAGCCCATCTCCCACCAGCCCAGGAAGCCTACGGAAACAGAGGGTAAGGAAATAAGGAAACTGATTTCTGAGCATGGCTGGGGAGAATCCGGCATAGCCGTTATCCGATAGCCTTCTCCCCACTGATTCTTTGTGTGTAGAGTTGTGGGGTGGAAGAGCCTGGCTACAGTCCTTGTTGTGTTTGTACAGCGCACTGAAGTGGAATACAACTGCTCTGTGTCTGTCAAAATGCTAAGTATGCTAAGAAAGGGTTTATCTTTGAGGGCAAAACCAGGGGTATCTTCCTCTTTTTTTACAAAACTTTTTTTTGGTTAAGTTTCTTTTTCCAAACGTTTCACAACTGGAATGAAATGTTCACATTGTCAAAGATTTTTTTTTTCTTAGTTTGCCGTGGGCATTATGTCAGTTGCAAAAACTACAAACAACTTTGATTTTGAAGCAAGGTGAAAGAATGCACTGTGGAATTTAGCTGTGGATTAGCTGTGATATCATGGCCTTGTGCAGTGAAGACTCTATCAGTACCAAGGCAGCATGGGACTTGTCAGTCACTTTGCTGGACCAGAGCTGTTAGTAGCTGTAGGTTCCCACTAGTTACCATGTACAGAGGAGTCTACAACATACTTAAGCATCCAGAATTAAGGTAGTAGCTATGTTACTGCTGTAACCCACTGACAAAATGTTACTCGTTCAACCCAAAAGGCTCCACATGCTGATTTAATTAATTGTATCTGTTGAAAAGCAATGGGACAGATGTCTATGTATCTTCTCTTTTGTTATTCTCTAAACTGTGATCAGTTCTCAGTGAAAGCTTCCCTAAGGCAGTACTCTGTAGCTCAGACTTGTTTATAAACACAGTTTGAACACATGCTTTTTCTGTTTTCTCAGTTTTTAAGTAAAGACATAATTTGTGTTTCTCAAAGTAAGGGGATTAGATACAAAATTGGCAATGCTTGACTTTGGGGGCAGGTGCAGACCTGATTCCCCAGATACCCAGATCAGGAATAGCTGTAGCATGGCACAACTCCATTCTAGCCTGTGTACCCTTCTTCATGTCTGGTGGATACCAGGGAGCTGAGGAATTGTGCATGCCCAGGTCTTACCTCAGGGTGGGATACAGTCGTGGGTTTCTGCCATGACTTCTTTATAGATATGAAGCCGACTGTGACCGTGCAGTATAGACACATCCAGTGAGCGGCAGCTTGAAGCCTCAGGGTAGTGTCATGGTTTGCATTATCTGGTACACAGAGAGTAAAGATGCAAGTTTCAGTTGGGTAAGCTGGTACTAAAATCTTCTTGAATGCAATGTCTTCCACACTGTTTGCTCTTACTCTCAAAACTTATTAATGAATCATTAATAAGTCACTGAAGATGGAAGAAAGAGTCTTCCAAATGAATTATACATTGGTGATGTAAGGGTGGCTCTTTAGATGGATGATATCAGTATACAGTGGGTTTTCGCTTGCTGTAAGGCTACCGCTTTTCATTGGTAACTTTCCTAAACTTCCTTCCCCACCACTGATGCTTCTCTCCCCACAGTGAAGAAATGTTTTTCTGTTAATATTCGTGGATGGGTGAGTGGGAACCATGTGGTCAACACCATTAGACACAAAGGGTGTTTGTCCACAAGGTTTCTGACTTTTCTGAAGAGGAGAGTGAATGGAATTCTCCTCATCCGGGTTCCCTGTGTGGAAGTGTAACGGGATCACTGAGTGGCAGTATTATGGATGTAAAGGGCTGTCTAGTGGTAACATAACCACGTTGCTAACTGTACAGAAAATAAATACTGAAGTAAATTACAGGAGAGATAAGACATTGTTAAAGAGTTGAGTTCTCTTCTCAGATATCCATATCCGGTCCCCTTAACCTCAGTAGGGGACCTTTCATGCTTGTCTGGCTTTATTTCATACAGGTTTTTATTATACCAGATGAAACATGGAATATGTTCATGTAAAAATAGATTGCAATCATGTAAAAATGCATTGCAATAATATTATTTAGGTTACAAAATCAACTGCTCAGTTCAGGGATGGAAACTTTACACTTGCTCTGAGAATTAATTTCAGCTCTTTTCATGATTAACTTGTGAAATGAATGAGCTAGAAGTTCAGTGTGAAAACATATGTGTGTGTCATTAAAGGTCATAATGTGTATTCCAATGACTAAATTAGTTCTGTGAGCAGCCATTCAACAGTGCTTACTAATCTTAATTTTCTTGTTAGCAGTATAAATGGTGTTCTGTTTTGTTTTAACACCATCTTTTGTATGTTGCCATTTAAATTTTACTTGGAGGACAGGTTATTTTACATATTGTCATAAAGCAAATTTCAACCCAAAGCATTTTGCTTTGTCTTCAACGGCTTCAGCTACAGGGCTGACAAGGCAGCTGCAGGAGAAGACTTATTCCCTATGAGGTTGTTGAAGTGTATCATGTGATAGACCTACAAGAGAGGAGATTGATTTCAGTGCCCCCCTTGTCCCCATTGTTGAGAGGTGCCCCAAAAAGAAGAACATTGGTTGCTAGAGTCACGGTCTGGGGTTGAAGGGTATGGCTGGATTTCTGAATGGTCTTGGTTTCTCTCTTTACGTTGAGTTTGAGGGAGCTACTGCTTTAGAACTGAAATAAGATGCCGGGTCCTGAAAATACAGCTCAGCTTTGTAATTTGTGTTTTCTCTGCACCTCTGTCCTTGTGATTCAAGTTAGAGGAGTGCCTGTTCACTTGTGCCATCAGGTACATGGGATGCCAGTGGTATGTACTGGGTCTGGAAGAGGGTGGGGAATGTTGACTCCAGCATAGATACATTCCCCTTGATGTATCTAATCAATCAGCTCTTCAGCATCCCCATCCAAGTGCTATGAGGGCGATGTAGGCTTAGTCCATCAAAATGCTCAGGGTTCTGGGCAGGCTGCCAGTGTTTTTACAGGGAAATACGGGTGAGAGAAGTCAAGCTTTTGAATTCAGAGGCACAAAAGCAAGGTACTTCCACAAACTGAGGGATTTCTCCGTGTGAAAAGTAAAGATGTGTAAAAATAGTAAAGATGGTAGATTTTTCCAAAGAAAATACTCCTAGTTATGGAGTGCATTAAGCAACTTAAAATAGGGATTGATCAATCTTCTTACATACTGGCATTTCATCATTCACTTTAAAAAAAAAATTAAATTCTGGCCTTTGATGAAAAGCTTTCCATTGATATAAATAAAGCCAAGAACCCTGCTGTGATACATGTACTATAACATACATGACTACTCATGAAAACAGTACTCTTGTAGCCCTACAGATAAAATTTTCTACCCTCAAAAGCCAGAGCATAAAAAGATAAAGTTTCATCCTTTCTCACTTGCATATATACATGGCTGAGTTTTTTCCAGAAATTCAGAAATCAGTGAAAGTTATATATTGATAATCTTAAGGCAAAATTCAGTCTGTGTTTGAGGAAAGTAAAATTTGAAAGATTAATTTCATGAGTGTAATACAAAGACTTGAAAGTGAACTAGGAATCAGTTGGACTTTTACGTTTTTTTCAGCTTCTGAGTGTTTAAACTTGCAGCCTGTGTACTATAGTTATGCTTTCTTATAGTTTAATTCTTCATATTTATTTTTAAATAGGAAAATGAGATTCTTGTTTTTAAATTGTTATGTACTTAATTGTGCATTTCCACAGAGGATGAAAACACCTGAATTTCAGGTTTGTAACAGTTGAAATAGACAGTTATTGTGTTGCACGTGCATATACTTCCTACCACAACCGAGTACAGTTAATGATGCAGACTCAGAAAAGGTGACATGGCAATCATAACGATAAATATATGTAATAGCAACCCCCACATTTTATTTGACTAGCCTTTATAATAGTTTATGAGCTTTTTTTTCCCCTGTCTTGTAATCAGAGTCATTACTTCAATTAGGGTGGAAATGTTCTATACTTTATACCTGATTTTCCATTGCTTGCCATTATTTTAAATGTTTTCTCTATTTCCCTAGAGACTACAATCTACAGAACAATAAAAAATTAGATTTAAGGTACCTCTTGACTAATCAGACAAAGAAGTTGAATTCTACGTATACAAGGATTTTTTGAGTTGTATGTGGCCAAGAAGTCTTACTCATTCAGCAAGTTTTATCTTTTTATTAATCTATGCAAAATACTGAATAGGTTCCTCTCATATTTTTCAGAAATACAGCTCTTTGGCTAATTATAGGCAAGGAAAATAATTTCAGAAAGGGAAACTTTAAAAAAGTTTCAAGCATTTAAAAGTACATGAAAGGGCATAGAATCTGATCCTGAAATCTTGTGCACGATTTTACTTTAAAACAACCATAGAGTTATAAAGAAATGACAAAAATACTCCCCAAATCTTAAAAATAAGATAAAAATAATCAAAAAATAAGTAAGTTCTGAATGCTTTTTTTTTTTTGATATTCAGAGAGTGAGCAGTCACCTGGAAGATTCAAAAGTTTGGTGTGTTACCCTCACTGTCAAATCAAAAGATTTTTTTTTCTGTACTATATAATAGAAATTCCCAAACTGTATATGCTCAAAAGAAATTTAAATAATAATCTAACTAGTTAGTATTCAAAGTTAGATGGTCTTGTCTCTTTAAAATTCTTCTTTTGTCTAGGTTGTTCACGACAAAATAGAAATATATCTAAGATCTGATTTTCAGTCTTCCAGTCTAACAGGTCTGCTACTGTATGTACACACACCCATGGGCAGAATACATGCAGAATAAGCATTCAAGGGAAAGAAAAACCCCTTTAAAGGGCTTAAATCCCCATTATATCATGCCTGCAAGTAAAACATAAACCTGCACAGATTGCTGAGAGCCTTGTAAAATTGAAATTTGTAAAGCATCATATTAGGTAGTCCTTGTTTTTCAGTATAGCTTTTAGATTTGTTTCTTTTATGCCTCAGTTATCTTCCTGCGATTAAAAAAAAAACCAAACGCCCCTCAAACCAAGGTCAACCCTCAAGCTGGCTCCATCAGCCTTCCCATTCTCATGTGTTCTTCTATTTTGTCTTGTAGTTGTTTTTTATTTCTTAAA